TCCAGGTGATCATCTTACAGCTATACAGCACAAAACACTACCCGTGTATATAGCTTTTGCTGAAACAGGAGAGCTCCATGCAGGTTAAGAAACACCCAGGCCAAAAAGTTCCTTCAAACACAGACAAACTCCAAAGCCAGCGGCAGATGCCCACTGCTGCAGGAGCTGTAATTCGGTTCCAGGCTGGATACAATTCAGGTCCTGACCTTGCCCCGTACGGGCTGGCTCCTGAACCCACACACAATCTCACTGACTCACCAAGGCGTTGTGAAAGCGCAAGATAGCCACACGCACAATTGCAGGATGAGGAAAAGATACGCGTATCAGCAGAATACCCAACAGACGTCTTCTCCCTGCAACAGCCGCCAGTATGGGGCTGGAGTAAACTGGTCCTAAGTTACCAGCAGCTTGCAACCAGCACAGCTTACTACCAGGTGTATGAAAGCAATGAATCTGGCAAGACATCACTTGTGACTTTTGATACCACAATCTGCACTTCCTATCAGTCCTTCTCTGCAAGAACGGGCCAGGATGCGCTGATCTCTTGCCATGCTGCCTACCGACGACAGAAAAACAAAGCAAAACCTCCACGTGCCCCAGAGCTGCCAGGTGTTTCACTCCAGTTTGACAGCCAAAGCACAGATCTGGATCCCAAAGCCTCACGGGCCAATGGTACGAACGCTACCTGTTAACCTGCAATGGGATTATAAATCAGTTACAAACTCCACCATCTCCTCATTTAATGATACATCCTAGCAAGAGGGAGTAGAAACTCAGGGTAAAAAGATAGTTCAAACTGTGAACAGTACAAAGACAGGCTGCTACCCAAATAATGGCACACAGAATTGTAGTCATTGTTTCAGAAATATCACTGGAAACAATCACTTTTACCCAAAGAAACACTGCTCTGCAGTTTTTTTCCAATGCAAATATTATCTGTTGAGATTCTGAAAGCGAGAATCACGAAATGAAATCAATGTCATTGTTTTTCGTTAGGCAGACTGGAAAAAAATACCAAAAGAAAATAACTGGGATGAACAATAAGTGAACAAGATATCAAATATTCATCAGGCTTACTGATTTAAAACATCACCACTTTTAGTAAAGACTTGTTTCATTTTGAAATTCTGTAAAATTATTTTCAAGAGCACCTAACTAACTAGCATCTCTTAAATGGCATTTTTATTAATTCTGAAAGATTTTTAGATGTTTTTTGACTTTCCTTGAAACTTACAGTTTTTCCAGATGGGGAGTTTTCCATTCTA